TAAAGTTGAATTGATTTTTATTAAAAGGATAAACATATGCGCGATCTTAATCATTGAATTATTATGTTTATTCTTGTGCTACAATGGAGTGCCACTCAGCGTCAATGCTGAGCGGATAGCGTTGTTTTCCTTTTTGCTGTCCGTAGGTGATCAGACAGATGAACCTAGAGCCGATCCCAGAGGGCATTGAGGAGGAGATGTACGATGGCGTGGCTGTCTCTTTAATCTGTAGTTATGCTTTATTTAATTAACTTTAATGCTTATTACGTTTTCGGGCAAGATCCCAAGTTGTTTGACTTTAAAAAGGCTTCTGCATTATTTTAAATTACTCCGATGGATTTTTATATGTATTGTTAGAATGTTTGATTTAAATTGTTTTGAAAATGTTGTATATTCGGATACCAATCCAGTGGCACACCGGTCCGTTGTCTCACGGGTTTGGGTTATGCGGGTTGGGGTGTTACATTTTGGTATCGGAGCATTTGGTTTTAAAATCGGTCTTTGGACCTTTTCAAAATAAAATACAATGAATAATTCAGCCGCATCTGCATCTCACGTAACTCCTCTGCCCCGGGAAGGTAATAAGTATTTATAGCTTTATCTGTTATATGTTAAGATCTGACTTGGGAATTTCCTTATTATTTTAGAATGAGTCAAGAATCGACCCATGGTCAGTACGTTCCGGAGCCGGAGCACGTGAGCGTGCACACGGTGAACACCGAGGGTTCGAGTTTCACACCTCCGGGTGACGGAGGGCAGCAACAGAATCAACCTGAGCCAGCGGGACAGCCGCCAGTTGTACCACCCCCAGTCGTACCACCTCCAGTGATACCACCGTTGGTGATGCCGCAGGTGGCCTACGAGCAGATGTTCCCGGCCATGATGGCCCATTATATGCAGCACATGGCGCAGCTTATGCCCATGTTCCAGCCACCGCCACCACCACAGCCGCAGCCGCGCATCGTTACCTTCAAGACATTGAAGGATAATGGAGCGGAAGGGTTTCGAGGAGACAAGATGGGGGAGCCCCAGATTGCGTTGGATTGGCTTGAGCAGATGGACCGGGTACTCAAGAATTTGAGAGTCCCTGATGCAGATCACTCGGAGTTGGCGTCACAGATATTCCGGAAGGGAGCATATGATTGGTGGAAGCGCATTGACCAAGATCCACACACGCCCAAGCCTTGGACCTGGGATCGCTTTGATCGAGCTTTCACGAAGGAGTACGTCCCCACCTGGTACCGCGAGGAGAGGCGTGATGAGTTCGTTGCGCTTAAGCAGGAGGGGATGTCACTGCCTGAACTGAGACAGAAGTTCGACTACCTGTCCCAGTATGCGACGAGTCTGGTCTCCACTCCGGAGGATCGTTTGAATGAGTTCGTCAAGAAGCTACGGCCGGACTTGAGGCCGTACGCCGCGCTGATCACGACGACAGATTTTAATGCGGTGTACGATTTGATTGTGAAGACGGAAAAGAGCTTGGACGATTTGCAGGCGACCGAGAAGGAGGATCGAGCGACGAAAGACCCGCGACCCGCGGCCAGCACCGGGCCGAGCGGGAAGAGTTTTGGATTCGGGGGAAAGAGGTACGAGAAGGGATCTTCGAGTGCGCCGCCTCCTAAGAGGAGTAAGTCGAAGCCATCTCCGTCGGTCGCCGCTAGCAACGCGATCAGAACGAAGAGCCACCCGTAGTGTGTACAGTGTGGTAGGCATCACCCGGACGAGTGTTGGCTCGCCCAAGGCTTATGTTTGGGTTGTGGTCAGCCAGGGCATTTCAGGAGGCATTGCCCGACAACCCCTAGCAGCGAGCCTGTTTTTCCTAGAGCTCCGGATCAGCCTGCCGCATCGCATCCAACACGGAGTCAGCAGTCTACAGCCAGAAATAATCAGCAAAGACCACGTCCGCAGCAGACAGGCCGTGCACCAGCGCGTACCTACGCCATGCAGGGGCGCACAGATCCTAATCCCGATGTTATCTTGGGTACGTTCATACTATTTGATTCGGTTATGCATGCCTTGATCGATCCGGGTTCCACGCTCTCCTATATCTGTGTTGGCATGCCTGCTAATTCTGCGATCGTGAGGAGTGACCTTGAGATACCTACAGTTGTATCGAATCCGCTAGGACATAGCATGCGTCTTCATCACATTTATCATAGGTGTCCGTTGTCCGTGCAAGGGAAGCAATTCCCCGCAGATTTGATAGAGCTACCACACAAGGAGTTTGACATTATCCTTGGTATGGATTGGCTCACCGAGCATAGAGCAGTGGTCGACTGCAGTAGTCGGACCGTATGGCTGAGAGCCGACGACGGTAGCGACGTGTCACTCTCCGGGGAGGTGTTCCCCAAGGCTCCCGAGTTTATATCGTCCATGAGCACGAGACGCTTGATTCGCAAGAAGTGCGAGATGTTCCTGTGTCACGTTCAGGATATGCGAAAAGAATCACCACGTCAGCAGGACATCCCTACAGTTTGCGACTTCCCCGACGTCTTTCCCGAAGACTTTCCTGGTTTGCCTCCGCCGAGAGAGGTAGAGTTCTCGATCAATCTCATTCCGGGTACGGAACCCATATCTGCTACACCGTATCGTATAGCACCTGCCGAGATGAAGGACTTGAAGGCTCAGTTGCAAGAGCTACTGGAAAAGGGATTCATCCGACCTAGCATTTCCCCATGGGGAGCACCGGTGTTATTTGTTCAAAAGAAGGATGGATCCATGAAACTTTGCATCGACTACAGGCAGTTGAACAAAGCCACAGTGAAGAATTGTTATCCGTTGCCTCGCATCGACGACCTGTTCGACTAGCTCAGAGGGGCTACAGTATTCTCGAAGATCGATCTGCGTTCTGGATACCATCAGATTCCCGTTAAGAGAGAAGACATTCTGAAGACTGCTTTTAGGACACGCTATGGGCATTATGAGTTCTCAGTCATGCCTTTCGGATTGACTAATGCCCCGGCAGTGTTCATGGAGCTTATGAACAGTGTGTTTCGACCATACTTGGACCAGTTTGTAGTAGTGTTCATCGATGACATCTTGGTTTATTCACGAACTCTGGAGGAGCATGCTAGACATTTGCAATTGGTTTTGAGTGTGTTGAGAGAGCACAAGCTGTATGCAAAATTGTCCAAGTGTGAATTCGGGTTGAGTGAGGTGACATTCTTAGGACATGTTATCTCTGCCACCGGTATCCAGGTAGACCCCAGCAAGATTTTAGCCATAGTGGATTGGAAGACTCCGCGGAATGTTCGTGAGGTAAGGAGCTTCCTTGGGTTAGCCGGTTACTATCGTCGATTTGTTAAGGGCTTCACCTCGATCGCTACTCCATTGAACAAGCTACTGCGGAAGGACATCAAATTTGAGTGGTTAGAAGCGTGCCAGCGCAGTTTTGATCAAATAAAGGAGTGCCTGACCCAGGCACCAGTCTTGATTCAACCTACTCCTGGCATCGAGTATACCATCTATAGTGACGCATCCCATAACGGCTTAGGTTGTGTACTGATGCAGTTGGGTAAAGTATTGGCCTACGCATCGAGACAGTTGAAGACTCACGAGGAGAACTACCCGACACATGATTTAGAGTTGGCAGCCGTGGTGTTTGCCCTGAAGATTTGGCGCCACTACATCTTTGGAGAGAGGATTCACATCTTCACCGATCACAAGAGTTTGAGGTACCTACTCACCCAGAAGGAACTGAATCTTAGACAACGTCGATGGTTGGAGCTGATCAAGGATTACGATTTAGTCATTGAGTATCACCCGGGCAAGGCTAACATCGTGGCCGATGCTTTGAGCAGAAAATCGTTAGCCGAGCTACAGCTTTAGTCTTCGTTAGAGCAGGAGATCCGTACAGCACAGAGAGATGATGAGTTTTGTCAGAAGACTCGAGAGTTAGTTCCTACATGAAAGAGGCCCGAGTTTGCAATTCGCGATGACGGAGTCTTGTACTATCGTGAACGCCTAGTGGTGCCCCGCGGTGGAGTGAGGGATCGCTTGTTGCGCGAGGCTCACGGAACCGTATACACTATGCACCCGGGTAGTAACAAGATGTATCAGGATTTGAAGAAATCCTATTGGTGGCCAGCTATGAAAAAGGAAATCTCCGAGTTCACTGCGCGCTGTTTGACTTGTCAGCAAGTCAAGGCTGAGCACCAGGTTCCGACAGGGTTGCTGCACCCTCCTACCATTCCGGAATGGAAGTGGGAAAGGATCACTNGTACAGCACAGAGAGATGATGAGTTTTGTCAGAAGACTCGAGAGTTAGTTCCTACAGGAAAGAGGCCCGAGTTTGCAATTCGCGATGACGGAGTCTTGTACTATCGTGAACGCCTAGTGGTGCCCCGCGGTGGAGTGAGGGATCGCTTGTTGCGCGAGGCTCACGGAACCGTATACACTATGCACCCGGGTAGTAACAAGATGTATCAGGATTTGAAGAAATCCTATTGGTGGCCAGCTATGAAAAAGGAAATCTCCGAGTTCACTGCGCGCTGTTTGACTTGTCAGCAAGTCAAGGCTGAGCACCAGGTTTCGACAGGGTTGCCGCACCCTCCTACCATTCCGGAATGGAAGTGGGAAAGGATCACTATGGACTTTGTGATCGGATTGCCACGATCTTCACGAAAGAATGACGCCATATGGGTCATTGTTAACAGGTTGACAAAGTCCGCTCATTTTCTACCCGTCAGACGTGACTCTTCCATGGACAAATTGACAGACTTATACGTTAGAGAGATAGTTCGGTTGCACGGTGCACCGCTGTCAATCATATCTGATAGAGATCCCCGGTTCACTTCGATGTTCTGGAGAGGACTTCAGAAGGCTTTTGGCATAGCTTTGAACCTTAGTACGTCATTTCACCCTCAGACCGATGGCCAGTCTGAGAGGGTGATACAGATTGTCGAGGATATGATGCGAGCTTGTGTGATCGACTTTGGAGAAGATTGGGAGCGTTACTTGCCGTTGATGGAGTTTGCATATAATAACAGTTACCAGGCGAGTATTCAGATGGCTCCGTATGGGGCACTCTATGGCAGAAAGTGCCGAACCCCGATTTGTTGCACAGAGCTTAGCGAGCGTAAGCTCGAGGGACCAGATATTGTGCAGGATACCGAGGAGAAGGTTCGTGTGATCAGAGACCGACTCCGCGCCGCTTCGGACAGACAGAAATCTTATGCAGACTTAAAGAGACGAGACATAGAGTACAATGTTGGTGACATGGTATTCTTGAAGGTTTCACCTTGGAAGAAGGTCCTACGGTTCGGGAAGAAAGGGAAGCTTAGCCCTAGATTCATTGGACCCTACCGCATTCTGGAGCGAATAGGACCTGTTGCTTACAGGCTAGAGTTGCCACCAGAGTTGAACATGATTCACGACGTCTTTCATGTCTCCGTGCTGCGTAGATACCATTCAGATCCGACTCATGTGTTGCCGACCAATGCTGTAACCCTCGATGAGAGTTTGTCTTACGAAAAAGAGCTAGTTAAGATCTTGGCGCGCGAAACTAAAGTACTAAGGAATAAGACGGTAACTTTGGTAAAGTTATTATAGCGTAATCATGCGGTGGAAGAAGCCACATGGGAGACCGAAAAATCTATGCGAACTCAGTACCCACATCTCTTTGGCGACCAATGACTCAGGTAATTTCGAGGACAAAATTCTTTTTAAGGGGGGGGAGAAATGTAACGCCCCGAAATCTGGCCCAAAAGAATTAATTAAATTCGTTAGAGCAATTGATTACGAATTGGGCCTAAAAAAGGGTTAAAATTATAATTTGGATTCTAAGCCCAACTTTTATGTCATCTCGTAGGAAATATTTTTGTGATCACGTCGGTTCAAACAGCTCGCGAATCGGAGTTATGGAGCTCATGTTATGACCATTTAATCAGGTATTTTGGGTCCGAAGCCCAATCCTTTTAGGAATGGGATCATTAAATAAACTTAAAACCCTAATTTTATATACTTACGCGTGTTCATACGGAGACCTTACGCGTCTCATCCTCCCCTGCCGTTCGACCACGCCGGCGTCGCGTGAGCCAGACCTCAGCCTCCTTCCCGCACTAGCCAAACTCCGTCAATCGCTCACCGCCAGGATCAGCGCCGCCGACCATGGTTCTCAATCTTCGAGCTGCGGTCGTCACCTCCACTACTGGCTTCTGTCGTCCTCGCCGTCGAGTTGCAGCGCCGCCAATCGCCTCCAGCCAACCTCGCTCAGTCGCTGCGCAATCCAACACCACGTCACCACTCCAGGTTAGCCCTCATCCCATCTCCATCTTCCTCGCAATTTCCTCTGCAATTGGATCTCTAGAGCAGCGCCACGCCGGGTCGCCACCTTCGCCGGCGGTCGCTGCGACTCACCGGACTAATACAATCGCCGGTTCGCCGCTGTTGTAGCTAGGGACTCTACCGGACAGAGGCTATCACCGGAGCTGCTCCTCTGTTCGTGATTTCTGCGAGCTACTGCTGCCCCGCCACTATACGCCGGTGTCCGCCACCGTCGCCGCATCCAGCTGCTGCCCCGGGTTGATACCGCCGGCAGATTAATCTCCACGCCAGATTGATTGTTCGATTTCGTGTTTTGACTCAATTTGACCCGTTGTTCGTTTGATTTCGTGAAAGTCTAAATTGGTTTGACCGGTGGTCAAAGAGTTAATGAGGAACCCTTAACACCTAAATCGTTTTGAAAAGAAAGAAAATAAGTTGACTGTTGGTCAACCGTCTAAAGAACTGAATGTAAAGTTGAATTGATTTTTATTAAAAGGATAAACATATGCGCGATCTTAATCATTGAATTATTATGTTTATTCTTGTGCTACAATGGAGTGCCACTCAGCGTCAATGCTGAGCGGATAGCGTTGTTTTTCTTTTTGCTGTCCGTAGGTGATCAGACAGATGAACCTAGAGCCGATCCCAGAGGGCATTGAGGAGGAGATGTACGATGGCGTGGCTGTCTCTTTAATCTGTAGTTATGCTTTATTTAATTAACTTTAATGCTTATTACGTTTTCGGGCAAGATCCCAAGTTGTTTGACTTTAAAAAGGCTTCTGCATTATTTTAAATTACTCCGATGGTTTTTTATATGTATTGTTGGAATGTCTGATTTAAATTGTTTTGAAAATGTTGTATATTTGGATACCAATCCAGTGGCACACCGGTCCGCTGTCTCACGGGTTTGGGTTACGCGGGTTGGGGTGTTACAGTAGCTCTATCTCCCGAACACAGTTCGCTGTTATACCCCTGGCGGAGGCGGCATATAACATCTTGAGAGAGGAAAGGGGTTTGATTCCGCATCACTCCCTTCAGGATCCAAGCTATAAAAAAGGCGGATTTTCAAGGTCAAAAGCTCCTCCTGTTGTGGAATCCAACCAAGCCGGGAGCTCCTCCGGGTGCCAGGCCCAAGGCAACACCACTGCCCATGATGTTTGCAAACCGCCTGCTGCCTTGGACGTCATTCCCATCTCCGCCATTCCTGGGCTAAGTAAACCCACGCCGTCCCGGAAACGACCACGGGAAAGGGTCACTGACGATGATTTCCTTCCCAAGAAGAATAAAAGTGAGGGTACTCCTGCTTCGCTCAGCCCCTTGACCACATCTTCTGGTACCCAGAGTACCGCCCCTGCTGCCGCATCCGGAGGTTTGGAGTTACCCAACCCGGATAGCTTAGATCGTGAGTGGGATGAACTTCCAGACCAGTCAGCACTCAAAAGACCTGCAGTGCAGCCTCAGCCTGAGGTGATCAATACCTCTCCACTAAGCACAACCATTTCCCAAGGGGTAGAGGGAGAAGCTGACACGCAGAAAGAGCCGGAGACTTCTCCTGCGAGAGAGAAGGAGATTGAAGTGCAGAAAGAATTGGATGCCTCCTCTACGATGGAGAAGGAAGCTGAAGAGCAAAAATGTGCTAAGGTTCCTCTAGAGACAGAGAGAGAGACTGAGAAACAACAGGAGCTGGGAGAACAGCATTCCACTGTCACACCCCCAGCCTTCAATCTCCCCATCCGGCGCAAGTTCACGCCGCAAACCTACCCTGCATTTAGGGAGGGTTGGGCAGGCTTTTCCCGCGATTTGAACTCCTTACAGACCTCCCACTGGACTATCCAGGCAAATCTAGAGAAGATGAGGGAATCAGTGCAGTAGCCTGCAATTCCCCAGACACGCCCCGACTTGTTTGCCCTCAATGCTCTGCACTTCATGGAGCAGGTACTCTTCTTTTTCAAGAATCTCTTTATCCCTTTTTAGTTATCTCTTCCTTGACTTCCCTTCCCCTTCCAAGGCCCAACAATCACTCCTAACCCTGACTGAGGAGTACTTGGGTGGAGCATCAGGGAACTACCGAGCCGTAGTGGTCCTGAAGGAGTTGGCTGTCAGGGCTCTGCAGCAGAAAGTTGACACCCTGGAACAACAAGTCCAGGTCCTCCAAGAAGAGAATGCCCGACTCAAGGCAAATGGCTCAATGGAACTAGCAGCTGAAAGGTCCAGGGTCAAGTCCCTGCAAGAGCAGATTGCTATTTACCAAAGGGGGACCCAAGATCTAGAAACACAGTTTGACAGACTCCAGGCGCAAATCTCCATCCTAGAGTCAAAGGTCTCAGCTTTAGAAGACAAGGTAGGGAGTCTAAAGACTGAGTTGGTTGAAAGGGAGTCCCGGATCTCCAAGCTGGAGAATTCCCTCCATGACGCCAAGCAGGAGGGCGCCCATCTCAACGACCTCGTGATAAAACACATAGAGGCGAAACGGCTTATCCTCGAGAAGTTAGAGAAAGAGAGACAGACTGCCAGCGAGCTCCGGTCAAGGATGGGTGAACTGGAGAAGACAATAGCTGCTCATCAAGGGGAGGTGGCTGCCCTGACCACCCGTGCTGAGGCCCTCTACGAACAAGGGAAGTTTGATATGCAACACTGCATATCAAACTTGGTTGACTTCATCTCTTACTATGGGTTACCTCTTCCTCTTCCTCCCCCAGATTTTCGTGCCAAACCGGGATCCTGATTCCTCACTCCATTGTTGACTCCTTTCGCTAATCTAACTGTTCTCCTTTTGGACTTCTTATTTCCCTTTAGAAACTTAGCAAAAATTCTTTATCCGCCTAGGCTTTGGGCTTAACCGCGTGTACAAAGTACTGTTGTGTTTTTTTTATCACCGCGTTAAGCGACTGGCCCAACTTAATTACGCCGGGCCCAATCACCTTAGCCCAGCAATGAAACGGTACAACCCTAGCTTGCCTCGGGAATCCGCAACTGTTTCTCCAATCGGATAAGTGCTTTGACTCTGTATTCCTTGCACTACTCCTCTAGGATTACTCGCCTATTTAATGGGCTAGGCTGAACCCCACCACAATCACAATCAAATCCTCAACATGGCTGATAATGCCAGTAGAGTTGTCTTTATTGATCTTACTATTTCCGATTCTTTTTCTGATTCTTCTTCGTTGGCATTCCCCTCACTTGGGTCCCCAACACCTGAACTCTCTTCTGGGCCTTCTCTCGCCTCTGAACAATCAGTGACTTCTCCCTTGCCCAGAGAGGAGAATCACCCTCATCTCCCCCAACTGGCATTAGGGGGTGCTCTTTTGGGTTCCAGTGCCCCTCCTAACGGTGCCAGAACGGAAGTTTCTTCTGGCTGTCCTGGCACGTCCCGTCCGCAGAAGAGACGCAGTCCCCACTCAGGAGCTTCCCGGTTGGTCTCTGGTGCGAGGCCTTCCTCCCAGGGTTCTCACTCCCCTCAGCAGTCATATGGACAGCCACCTGAGGAGTGGGGGGGACTATGACATGGGAGGAAATAGGCTTCCGTTTATACGCAGGGAAAAGGACGGAACCTTTCGGGATCCGCCTCCACCTTCCGTATAAGCGGAAATAGGCCCTGAGTCCTTCCCTCATGCCTCATCGTCCCCCTTGCCCGCCTTCATGGGAGTGACCGGATGGTACCCACGGGGGAATGGCTTTCAATCCCAACCCGTTGGTACCTTTTCGCTTCTTTTGAATGTCATCAAGGGGAACGGTGGGCTCTCTCCACACCTCCCCGCCCTGGGATTCTTTTCTGGTTCAGGCAGGGAAACAAGGGTCAACGAGTGCACCCCCCTCAAAATTCGAGGTGCCGACTCGCCTTGCCTTCAGATTTTTCCAGTAGTAGGATAGAAGTAGATCATGGACAAAGTTCATTACTGTAACCCAAAAGAATGTAATATTCTGCTTGAGTTATTTAATGAAAATCTTTATCTCCCGTCTCTTTAATGATTTATTGTTAGACGAGAAAGGATGGTTTGCTTCTAGTTCATCCCTTTCTGATTTCCTTGCCATGGTGAGTAAATCTCAGAGTGAAGTCATCTTGGATGATGATTTCTTCGCCTCTCTGGCTCAATCCAACGACATGGCTGGGTTGAGTCCTGACAAGTTCTCAAGACTTTATCCGGCACCTCGTCTTCCTGCACCATCTCCTCCTAGTCCACCCAGGCTTCCATCCGGGAGGATAGACTGGGACTCTATGACCCTCCAAGACTTCGCCTTGTACCAGAGGATGCGCAGGGCTAAACTTGGGCATTCTTTGCCGTCTGTCGAGGCGGAACCTTCACGTGAAAGCCGAACTGCTTCTCCAAACTTGCTGAAGTCTCTCAATGATGGTTCTTCATTGGGAGCACCAGCTCCCCGTCCTGGGACGTGGGAAGACTATGACATAGAGGAGGCAGCTGATTCCGCCGCGTGCCCCTCGTCGAAGGGAAGGAGCCCATGGAAGGGCCCCCCACCTCCTTCCTGTTGACTGCATGGATGCAATAGGCCCTCCTTCATTGCCTAGCCCCCTGCAAATTAAATTTCTTCTCCTTGTTTTATTTCAAGAGGCATTCACTTGTTTGGTCCAGGAGTTTTTCCTACATCCCATACTAAGGAATGTCCTTCAATTTCAGACTAGGAATTAACGTTGTAATTCAAAGATACAACCTCCGAATTAGCAATCGATGAACTCCCCATTTTCTGGTTTTTTTATCTCACTAGGAACCATAATTGTGAACCAAAAAATGTAAACTTTGGCCCATCAATGTGGTCCTTAATGTTTATTTCTTTGCACTTTTACTAATGCAAGTACATATTTCATTCTTTGTATACAATCTCATCCCCCGGGGTTTGGACATGCCATGGGAACTTACCTCACCTGCCCCTGACCTCCTTTCCTCCGGGTTAAGGCATTATCTTATCTACCCTAGATCAGTTGAGCTCCAACCCTAGAAGTTTGCTTGCTCGGTTGATCTGTGCTGGTGGAGTACTAAGCTTCAGCCCTCGAAGTCTGCTTGCTGTTCTTCCCGAATTCCGGGTTGTAAAGGCCCTCAAAGTCCAATCCCAACCCTTCCTTCATTTTTGACGGAGGCATAAACTTATCTACCTCCGGGGGGCATAAAGTTATCTACATCCCCTATTTTTAGCAGGTGGCATAAACTTATCTACCTCCCTATAATGTGGGTCTATATCGCCCGGGGGTGCTCTCCCCCTTTTTTTTGAAGGAATTTATAGAGCAATGAAAATGCAAAGGCACTTGGCTTTAAAGGAAAGAAAATTTTATTGAAACAAAACCTCATAAATTCAAAGATAGAGCGCTTTAAAAAATGATTTTACTGATAAAATTTGACCAAGTGCTCTACATTCCATGTCCTGTCAATTTCTTTTCCCTTTGGAGTCACCAACTTGTAGGTACCTGGGTGAATAACGGCCTTGATGATATAAGGTCCTTCATATTTCTTAGCTAGCTTCCCACTTTTAGTTGGTTAACTCTTCTCTCGCTTCCTCAGAACGTAATCTCCCACCTGGAACGCCCTCGGTTTCACCTTACTGTCAAAGTAAGATTTCACCTGGCGTCGATGATTCTCTACCCGGATCCGTGCCTCATCCCTTCTTTCTTCTATGAAATTCAACTCTATGGCCTGATTTTGTTCGTTCACTTCCGGGTCATATCCCATTTCTCTCCTGGTAGGGATCACTGTCTCAGCTGGAGCCCGGGCTTCAAAACCATAAGCTAAACCGAAGGGAGTGTCACCCGTAGCCCTCCTCGGAGTTGTTCTGTACGTCCACAGGATTCTGGGCAATTCCTCCACCCATTTGCTTCCTTCCGAAAGTAGCTTCTTCTTTATTCCACTCATGATTGTCCTTTTGACATTCTCCACCTGTCCATTAGCCTGAGGGTAGGCTACAGACACTTTCGTATGCTGAATTCCCCAAGTTTTGAGGAAGTCTTGGAACTCTGCTTCCTCAAACTGTGTTCCATTGTCAGATATGATTTGCTTCGGGACTCCAAATCTACAAAGTATGTTGGTTCCCACGAAATCGATCATTTGCCTTCCAGTTATCCCAGCAAATGGTTCGGCTTCCACCCACTTGGTAAAGTAGTCAATGGCCGCCACTATCCACCTTGCCTGTCCAACTCCTTTTGGCAGGGCTCCAACAATATCAATCCCCCATCTTGAGAAGGGAATCACGGAGCTGATGGGCGTGTAGTTCGTGGCTGGCCTCCCGGTTATACTCTAGAATTGTTGACAAGTTGGGCACTTGCGCACATACTCCTTGCAATCCTTCCTCATCGTTGGCCAGAAATATCCCTGGATAATCGCCCTTCTGGAGATAGAGTATGGACCCTGATGTGCAGCACATACTCCCTCGTGTATTTCCTTCATCAGTGCCTTTGCCTCTGCTGCCCTAAGACAGCGGAGCAGAACGCCGTTGTAAGACCGTTTATAAAGGACTCCATCCTGCACCTTGTAGGTGAGTGCCCTCATCCGCAGCAAACGGGCTTCTTGGGGATCTTCCGGGGCTACATCGTCCTCAATGTATCTTGCCAACCTGTCCAACCATTCCGGGGGATCAGTTGATACCCAAAACGCTTCATCTCTGTTGAGACTCGGAGCTGCCAGCTCCTCGATAGTTGCCAATCGGCTTATGTATTCTGGTGATTCTGCGCTGAGCTTGGATAGAACATCATCTTCCGCGTTTTGGGCCCGGGGTATATGTTCAAGCTTAAACTCAAACTTTCCCAACATCTCCAAGGACAAGTCTCGGTACCTTTTCATCCTCTCTTCCTTTGCTTCAAACTCCCCAGTGATTTGTCCCACCACCAGTCGGGAGCCGCTGTATACTTGAACCCTGGACACTCCCAGCTTGCCAAGAATCTTCAGTCCGTTGATCAGGGCTTCGTATTCAGTTTCATTGTTGGATTCGCGGAACTGAAATCTGACAGCGTAATATATCCGGAAATTTTCCGGAGTAATCAGAACAATACCTTCTCCACAAGATCGAGATCCAGAAGATCCATCGATGCTCATTACCCACCAGTCATCCTCTACCCGGGTATCAACCTGTGCTCTTGTCATCTCCCTGGCAGTACACTCGACTTGGAAGTCAGCGAGTGCTTGCCCTTTGATCGATGGGCGCGGCCTGAACACCACATTTTAGTGACTGATGAAGACCGCCCATTTGGTCATCCGGGCGGATTCCGCCGGGCTCGGGGTAAGTGATGCCAAAGGCTCGTTGGTGAGCACAATAATCCGGTGAGCCTGAAAGTACGAGGTTAATCTCTTTGCCGTCCAGAAGACCGCTAACATGGCCTTTTCTGGACGGGAATACCTTAACTCCGCATCTCTCAAAGTCTTACTGACGTAGTAAACCGGATGTTGGGCCCCATTCTCTTCCCTCACAATCACAGTACTAATGGCAAAGTCTGCAATTGCCAAGTATAGAGTCAGATTGTCTCCAGGTTCCGGTTTAGATAAAACCGGCGGACTTGCCAGATATCTCTTCAGTTCTTCAAATGCTTCTTGACATTCCTGCATCCACTCGAAGGTCGCCCTCTTCTTGATTACCGTAAAGAATGGATGCGCCTTCTCTGCCAGCTTTGAAAGGAAACGATTCAAAGCCGCCAATCTTCCGGTTAGCCGCTGAACTTCTTTTGCTATCTTCGGGGGTTCCATCTCCATGATGGCGCTAACTTTCTCCGGGTTCGCCTCAATCCCTTTCCGGCTAACCATGTGCCCAAGGAATTTTCTGTTAGAATAAGTGACCAACGCTAGAGGGGGGGTGAATAGCGTTTGATCGTAGAAATCGCAGGAATAAAAAATTAAGAACGTGAAAGATAAAGAGCGTAGAAAGCGTAAAGGGAGCACACCAAGATTTACGCTGGTTCACCACAACTTGTGGCTAATCCAGCCTCCCGAGAGACTCTCTCGAGCTACACTACTTCCGTTAAGCTTACGGGTGCTTAACAAACCGTTACAACCTGAGAACTTGAGTCCCACGAGCCTCAATACACTTGCTCGGAGATACCGCACTCCAAGACTTCAACCCGAAGGAAAATACCTTTCCTTCATACAACCAAGGGAAACAAGCTTCCCTAAACGTGTTTACAACACTAAGAACACTCAAGAACAAGACTCTCTTTAAGAGTAGATGTTGAGTAAACTATAATATGAATATTGTGAAGTGAATTGATGTGTAAAGCAGACCCAAACACCTCTTTTTATGGTGCCAAAATAGGCTCCAACGGACCAATACATTAATGGGGTGATTGGCTTGATTTATGGGATTGAATAAATTTGTGATCTACAGGATATTGGCTTCCCAGCGATGTATGGACCTTACCCATCGCTGGTAGGCCAATTTTCCTTCAGTTTTGAAGCCAACGGTCACCTACCCATCGATGGGTACATGCTTCCCATTGCTGGGTGGGAGGTTGACTTCCAAACATGGAAAGAATCAACCTTAAATGACTTACAACGGTCATACCTTCCCATCGATGGTTAAGCCTTCCCATTGCTGGGTAAGGGCATTCTGCCTTGTGATAATGTTGGACCAAGGCTTTAACAACGATGGGTAGAACCTCCCATCGCTGTTTGGCATGGTTCTGGAAGTTGGTTTGGCTAAGGGGCCGCTTACCCATCGATGGGATGTTCTTCCCATCGCTGGGTGGGTGGTTAGCCAAAAACCTATGGTTTTTGCCTTAACCACGGCCTAGCCAACCGATGCAAAAACCAACCGAAAAATCCAAAGTTCTCCAAAATAAAAACCAAGTGTTTAAAACACTTATTTGATGTATTTGGCTAAGAAATCAAGTGGGACACTTTTAAAACCACGTCATTTGAGTAAAAACCACGGTTAGCCAAGTTTATGCCGTTTTGCGTGGTTTTTGCCAAACGACCAAAAACGAAAGGTGGTTTTCAAAGTGTTTTTGTTTGAGAACTGTTTAAACATGCCAAGAAGTAAAAAACCAGTCATAAAAAGTTGAAAATCACTTGGTTGGTTCGGACCCCAAAAACCAACGCCGATAACTGAAAGCCGAACGCCGGTTTCTGAAAGCCGAACGCCGGATGACTTGGTTTTTGGTTTGGGAGATCACCAAGTGTTTTTGTTGACTTAAACATGTTTGAAAAACATTTTTATGATGTAAGAAATTCAATGAAAAGATTTTAGCCTAAAGAGCCAAGGTGTAAAGATTGGGTCGGTCTTGATCACAAATGAGACCGACTCAACGACACTAAGACTACGGTCTTCGTTCTTGGTCTTCGTATAGCTCTTGTTCTTATCTTCGTTCTTCACCTTGTATATTCAATGTCTTATCTTGATCACGGCGGTTTGGCATTATCAAAACCTGTTACAAAAACGAACACGGCTTTAGTACGAAAACGTGACAAGCCCGTGTTTCAACATTTTCCACCCTGAACAGCAAAAGTACATTTCTTCGGGTTCAATCTCAAATTTACCTTCATCATGATTTCAAAGACCTCCTCAAGGTCCCGGACATGGTCTCGGGCCTCTTTGGACTTGACAATCATGTGATCGACATATGCTTCCATGGTTCGCCCTAGGACGGCCTTGAACACTTGAGAAACCATCCGGGTGTATGTCGCCCCGAAATTTCTCAGCCCAAAGGCCATCACCAAGTAACAGTACAGCCCTTCCGAGGTCATGAAACTCGTCTTTTAAGCATCAGCCGGGTGCATCCAAATCTGATGGTAGCCGCCGGAAGCGTCCATGAAGCTCATTAACTCTGATCCGGCAGTCTCATCCACCATCTGGTCAATGTTGGGGAGAGGGAACGGATCATGCTTTGTTCAAATCTGTGTAGTCGACGCACATTCTCCACGAAGGGGGCTTGGGCGCCAGAACTACGTTTGCCAACCAATCCGGGTATTGCACCTCCCGGATGTGACCAATGTTCTGCAAAGTTGCTACCTCCTTCTTTACGAAATCCCTCCTTTCCTGCGACAAATGCCTTCGCTTCTGCTTCACCGGTTTAGCATCTCGCAGGACATTAAGGCGATGAACTACAATCTTGTGATCCAGTCCTGGCATATCAACTGGACTCCATGCAAAGACCTTCCTGAACCTTTTAAGGACTGAGATCACTCGTGATCTGAGTTCAGCCCCTAGGCCCCTGCCAATTCTTACTAACCTCCCCGGTGTGCCTGGCTCCAGTTCAACTTCCTCAATGTCGCCGACAATTTCTACTCTAGGACGTCTCTCCTCTGCCCTCAAGAGCTGTGCAGTCACCTCTCCCACTTGGGTGTTGTACTTGATAGGCTGTTTGGTTGCCTTCAAATACCACGCACGGGACACTCTCTGGGATCCCCTGGCAATTCCAACTCCACTGGGAGTTGGGAATTTTATGCATAGATGATGAGGTGAGATGACACACTCTAAATCTTCCAGTCCGGGTCTGCCTAGAATGATATTTGTGTTGGAGATTATCCCCACCACAACGAACTCCATGTCCAACTTCTGGGTGGCCTTAGTATCCCCTATTTCGACCGGGAGGGTTATTACCCCCTCCGGTTCAATAGAGTCACCAGTGAACCCGGTCAGTGGAGTTTTGTTGGGTGATAATTCATCCCTAGGTCAAACCAAGAGCCTTGTACGTATCCATATACATGGTATTAACGGAGCTTCCCGTATCCACAAGGGTTTTATGGATCAGTAAGTCCATTATATCAATAGTAATCACCAGGGCGTCCCTATGGGGGACCCCTATTTCTGGAAGATCAGCATTAGAAAATACAATTGGCTAAGTTTTCAGCTTCTTACCTTCTGGGACCAGCACCTTGTTGAGCATCTCCGCGTTGGCCCACTTTTTCCGGCTCGTGGCTGAATCTCCGCCAGTATTCCCTCCAATAATGAAGTTACACCTGTGGTGTCTCTTCTGTCGGTACGGGGCGGGTTCCGAATCCTCCTCTTTATCTTCGAGCCTGATGTGGCGTTTTTCCCGGGTCTCAGCCTAGGCCACATCCTTATCCCTATGCTTCCCATTCTGAGGGTTCCCGAGATTTCCCGTGTCACCATCTTGTACAAACTTCTTTAGATGGCCACAGCGGATTAGCCTCGCCATCTCATTCTTCAGGGTATAGCAATCCTCTGTGTTGTGATCATTTTTGTGATGATAAGCACACCATTTTCTAGTGTTCTCCACATTGCAGACCTTCTGAGAATAGGTTGGTTAAGTCATGAGTCCCTGTTGTGCAGCATGGGCCATGACCTCAGCCACCAGCAACGTGAAGACTGGATTGGCGGATTTGTGCTTCTCTGAGGTCCTAGGGCTTGTTCCCTTTGGGCCATCCGGGAAACTCGGCTTCTTATTTCCCGCCTTCTCTTCTTCGTTAGGAGTCTTCTCTTTCTTCTCCTCCTTTCTCTCCTCCAGGGTCACATACCTCCCGGCCCGGACCAATGCTTCTTTGAAGGTATCCGGGGGATGAGTTGTAAGATCGGTGTGAAGGAGTCCGTCCTGTAATGCCGCCGTGAACATGGCCAACCTGGATTTGTCGTCGGTTCCTTCAAGGAAATTCTTCAAGGATAAGGAAATTCTTCAAGGATTCTCCGTCGACTCTTTTCTCCATCGGATAAGGAAATTCTTCAAGGATTCTCCGTGCTTCTGCCGCACTGAAGCCAGATGAGTGAAATGCTTCTTGGGACGGCAGTGCCCGCCAAAATGCTCTAAGAACCGCAATCCCAGTTCATCCCATGTCCGGATCGATCCAGCAGGAATGTGGTTGACCCAATCTGCAACCTTGCTATCAACTGTCTGCAGGAAGCACCGACACATTAGTGCATCGTTGGCGTCAACGACAATCATCACCTAGACATAGCAAGTTATGTGTTCCTGGGGATCTGACTCCCCATCATAACACTTAACGAATGGCATCTTGAATCCCTGCGGATATGGTTCCGCAAAGATCTCCGGGGCTAAGGGAGTATTCGTCCGAGTAGTGAATACTTGTCCCTTGTTTATCTTCCTCTGCATCTCCTGGATCTGCTGCCTCAGATCCTGGAATTCACCCGCTTCCGGTACCGGCGGCCCCAGGCGCTGTGGTGCTGGGACCCTGACTTGGCTTTGAACTTCGTCCTCATCCAGAACCACCAATGACCGGACCGGAGCTTGGCTCCCACCGCGGCCGATTCGCTGCCGGGGTTCGCGGTTAAAAGATGCCACCTGGCTGGCCTGGGGTCGTACCCAACTCTGGGATGCCTTGTCCGGATTCTTCCCCAGCCTCTCACTAACGTGAGCTTTCTGGTGAGATATCTTTTCAAAGACAATTCCCCGCAGGTTTTCGTTTCCATTGCCGACGACTTGGCTTGCAGCCTTGGCTCAGTCTCCATTCAACTTACTATTCTGGGCCAACTCCTCCGCCCGACGTCTAGCGACGGCCTGTCTCTCCCTCTCGACCTCCTCCAGATCATGAAGCTCCTGGAGGATGGGAGAACTCGCAGTACGCAGGACCTGGCGGGGTTGCCCGGTAGGGACGTCCCGGGTACCGGATGGACCAGGGAGAGCCTTATCCAACCGTTCCATAATGTTGGCCATCATGTTAGCCACATTATTCAACGCCGTCTCCAACCCATTGACAGGAACGATCATTCCCTGTTCAGGGTTGTCACTCCTCACCGTCGATTGGGCAGAAGCAGCAGTGTTACGTCTCGTCCTTCGTCCGACCATAACCTCACAGTTTTATCTCACAGTTATATATCTCTCAATGAAAGCACCAATGATGGGATTAACCCGATCAGATGGCGGACCAAGAACGTAATGTGGATCAGAAAGATATAATCTCGTAGTAATATTCTTTGATTAAGTGCAGAATCGCTTGAGTCGTCCCCCCACAATGGCGGGTTCTTTTCCCTTTCATAGTACTTCTAACATTGTAATTAAAATTACACATAATGGGAGGGATTATGGAGATCATGGGGTTGTGATTCCCTCTTTTCTGGTCTCGTTCTCTCCCCATCTCGTCCATAATCTGGTGGTGTGGGCCACGTGTCCCGCTCCTTCTCTAGACTGGGTCGTCTTGATTTAATCCATGATTGAGTCGTCCTTTTCCCATCCGCCTTGCGTGTAGTAGCGGGCTCGTCCCGTTATCCCCACCTGGCCTCATCCATATTGTGCTATTATGGGCCTTTATTGGGCCTGGAGTCGGGTCCATCAGACCCGATATCCATCACTCATATGCCTTCTTCATCAACTTCGCCAACTTCTACCTCTGCTCCAGCAATCCTGTGTCCTCCCATCACTTACAAGTTCACCCTAGACACCCTGGCTATTTCAAGCAGAATTAGGCCTCCGTGGAGTGCAAGCTCCAGATGGCGAAGGACGCCCATACTCAAAGGTGGATGTTGACGAAGCAAGCCCGTGATGTGCTCAAAAGTTCTCCCCTACGTCCAGTACATGAACGTCCAGATTTGGCTGGGCTCGCTACCTTGGGACTCTTGGAGCAGGTACCTAATTTCTAAAAATCATTGATGTCATATTTTTTTTCTCCGCCTGACTTTCGTTCGTTTAGGCCCATACTGCCGTCTTTAAGTTCGTTGATGATTACCTCAGAGTCTCTGCGTGGAATTCCCAAGCCTTCTCTAGTCTAGGTGAGAAGGAGACGATGATCTTGAAGCTGCAAGAGAAAGTCCGGGCTGCACAGGAGAACAATGCCCACATCTTGGAGGTAAATAATCAGCTGAATGAGGACCGGGCATGCTGGGAGACCAGCTGCAATGAGCTCAAGGAGGTTTCCAAACAGAGCAAGGCCTCTGGATCCTCCCAAGTCTAAGAGTAAAAATCCATGCTAGGATGCCCGGGAAGAGTTCCTGAGGGCTCGAATTGTTGAGTTCACGGCCCAGACCCAGTTCCTAAAGAGCAAATCCAACAGCTGACAGAGGAGTCGTCCAAGCAGCAAGCCACCATCTCCAGACTAACTGCACAGGCTATCATATCCCATGCCGAAAGTATGTACGACATGCAGTCTTCTGTGTATGGGTTGCCTGCTAGATCGTCTCCTCCAGAACCTCCCCAGCCATAATCTCCCAGCGTTGCAATGCTAGACTCTTTTTTCTCTTGTGTGTGGCTATAAGGATGACTTTTTTTGTGATGATTTACTGCTTTGGATTTTTTGAGTTTTTTGTAACCAACTCGAATTTATTTTGGTATCTCCCGTGCTTTGTGATCTGTATGGATTATTGTTGGGAAAATATTATAGATTTTGATGATGATGTATTTAGATTGTAATAGGGACTTTAGGCCTCTCCCAATATTCAATGTAATTTTTCTTTTTAGAAATATTGTTAAAACCGAGTTCTTGAGATTTCCAATAAAGTTGTGATATTTCTTTAAGTGGTTTGATGCTTGAAGACTTAATCAAATTCTGTGATATGGAAATTGGATATCTTGATCGGAAATGTCAGAGACAAGTAAGGATTTCTCAAAGCAGATGAAGATCCTCTAATCCGGAACACTACATGATAACTGGATGTCTCGCTACAACCCGCTGAAGGCTAAGTCATCCAAGTCGGAAGACTAGCGCGGATCTCTTTCTCACCCGGAAGTCTGCAAATGACTCCTCCGGATTTGTCAGCAAAGAACCGGGTGCCTCAAGTAAGACCGGAACTCTTAGAAGCGGACAAGTGAGAAAAGACTTAGAAAATTATCTAAGTCTTGAATGAAGAAATTCTACCCGTTGGTAAGGAAAAATCAATCTCTTGATTTTCAACGGCTAGATTGAAGATAATTATGCTGATTCAAGAACAAATGACTCGAAGACAAAGTCTGGACCTCTCAAATTAAAGAGCCTGTCCAGAACTCCTAAACAAGCACTAGAAGACAAACAGAGTAAAGTGCTACAGTCCAGAATTCTTGAACAACAGCTAGAAGACGGATTCTGTGGAAAAAGGAATCCCTCCTCAAAACAATTGGGTATGTCCAAACACCCATTCCAACGAGGAATCTTCAAAATCTTCATTCAAATATGAAGCCAACAAATGCAACGGATAGTCTATTTTGATTCAACGGATAGATTATCCAATCTAGCTATAAATAGCATCCTTGGAAGACTAGAGAATATATACAACCCATGAGATAGAAAACCACAACGAAGCAATCTCTAACAACAAAGCTATCTCATTCACAGTTAGCCCAAAGAGCTTGATAAAGAGAGATTTCTAAACTCCTTATCCAGAAGCAAACTCCTCCTCCTTCCAAAGAGCTATAGTGTAAACACTTGAAGGTTTCCTTGCCTCAGGTACCACACCACGTTGAAGGATACAACTTTTGATCAAACTTCTTGATTAAAAGGGGGTAGGTCAACTTTCTTACAAGTTGATCTTGCAAGTCCTATTGTTCGGATCTTGCAGTTGTTGAAGAAGCGTGACCTTCGATGGAACAACAAAGCCAGCACGAGTGCAGTAGCAACTTTGGCCTTGCGAAGATATACCGTGCAGAAATTCACACAAGTGTAATTGTTGGTTCTTTATTCAACAACCAACTACATAGTGGATTTTGAGGACGTAGAAGGATTACCCCACCTTTGGATGAAAGGTTCCACAAAATCTTGAATGATCTTGCCTCACTTAACCGCGTTCTCTCTCCCAAAGAAAAGAATGTAAGGTTGCTGAGATCACTCCCAACTGAGTGGTACACCAAAGCCACAGCCATGGAAGAAGGAAGAAACCTGGAGAACTACACTGTCCAAGGTCTCCTTGATGAGCTCAGAACCTATGAGCATGAGCTGATGAAGAAGAAGGAAGAACAAGTCATTCCCTTCCCCACGGCATTGATAACAACTCCCAGAGTCCCACCGAGTGAAGGGACATGCCCAAGGAACTGTGACACACCTTCCTCCAGCCAGCCGTCAAGCTCAAGAATGGAGAACTATGATGAGGAATTTGCCATGATGGTCAAACAATTCCGGAAGTTCAAGAAGTTCTTCAAGAAAGCTGACTCAGTCAGAAGGCCATCCAAGGGAAAGCCACAGGTAAGTGACTCCCCTCCGGAATCTTATTTATGTTATAACTACAAGAAACCTGGTCATTGGAAGTCAGCGTGCCCGTACCCAAAGGTGGAGAAGTACGGAGAAAGAGAAAGAAATAAAAAGAAGAAGAAAGCAATGGTTGCAGCTGAAAATGACGAGTCATCCAGCTCAAGCTCGGATGAAGAAGCCCTCGTCTGCATGGAGCGCAGAGCTGAGAAGTCCAACCATGAGGATCAGTGGACTATGTCAGAAGATGACACTCTCTGCCATATGGCCAAAGATGATGCCGAACAAGAGGTAACCTTACAAACCTCCTGCTCATCTTCTTATTAAAGCATACCAACTTCTGAAAGTCTTTTTGACAAGTTCAAAAAGATGATGAAAGATTTTGAGGAAATAAAGATTTTGGATAAGCTTCTTGAAGTGACCAAACAAAAGGGTCGTGAAGAACTTGGGTTTGACCCCTCCAATAAGAGTTTTCCAAGAAATTCTGAGTGGGGTAGATAGGAGTTTTCCAAGAAATTCTGAGTGGAGAACTGTGCCAAAATATAGTCAACCTTCACCCCAGAAACTATTTGTTCCACCTAAGTATGCTTACAACCAGCACAGGCCACACTATGCACAACCTAGACAAAACTATAGGTCTTATCAACCTAGGTTTGCCAGGTGGAAACAAGAAAATGCACCACCTGCTCGTAGGAAATTTTATGCATACAACTATGATTACAATTCCAACAAGTTTAGGGCTGCAAGGAAAATTCCCTGCAACTTCAAACTTGATGTAGGGACACACACCATTAACTATTCCGGACCCAAACTGAATTGGGTACCAAAATCTTCCTCCTCCTAATGCAGGAAGCCGCTAAGTACCCAGGTGTCTGGTACTTAGAGAGTGGCTGTTCAAGACACATGACGGGTGATGCGAGCCTCTTGAGCAATCTAATTCCCTATGATGGTCCAAGAGTTACTTTTGGAGGAAGCAATGACTTTGGCCTCACTAAAGGGCTAGGAAATCTGGTGTACCAAGGACTAACCATCCAAGCTGTATCTTATGTGGAAGGTCTCAATTGTAACCTTATGAGCATAAGTCAGTTTTGTGATAAAGGTTACTCCTTGGAATTCTGCAAGGACATGGCATCTCTCAAAAACATCTCCACAAATGAAGTCATTCTCACTGGGAAGAGAATCAGAAACATCTATGAAGTAATGTGGGACGATGTCAAGGAAGCCTGCCTAATCAGCAAAGGTGACACTAACCTTCTATGGCTTTGGCATAAGAGGTTGAGTCATCTCAACTTCAAAACTCTCAACAAGCTATCCAAAGAAGGGTTAGTAGAAGGTTTTCCCAAAGCTGTATTCAGGAAGGAAAGCATTTGTGATGCTTTCTAGAAAGGAAAGAAGTCAAGTCCACTTTCAAGGCAAAACCGGCACCCTCAACTACAAGGATATTAAGTCTTGTTCACATGGACTTATTTGGCCCCGTTACTCCAATAAGTCTAAGTGGAAAGAAATATGTCCTAGTGGTAGTTGATGATTACTCAAGATACACGTGGACAATTTTCCTCAACAGCAAGAAGGAAACTCAAGGGAAGCTCACAAACTGCATGAAGCTGATTCAAAACCAAGCAAGTCAGACCATCCCGAAGATCAGATCTGACAAAGGCATAGAATTCCTGAATGAAATCATCATTCACTACTGTGAAGAAAACGGAATTCTTCATCAGACATCTGCAGCAAGAACGACTCAACAGAATGGTGTTGCTGAAAGAAGAAACAGAACCTTGAAGGAAGCAGTAAGAACCATGCTAGCCGAAGCTTCTTTGCCAAAGAGGTTCTAGGCTGAAGCTGTTAACACAGCTTGCTATACTCAGAACAGGAGTATGATTTATAAAAGGCACAACAAAACTCCCTATGAATTATGGAACGGGAGAAAGCCCAATATATCATATTTCCATATTTTTGGGAGCAAGTGTTTTGTGTTAAACAACGGGAAGAATCATCTGAACACTTTTGATGAGAAATCAGATGAGGCCATCTTCCGTGGATATTCCATGGTGAGCAAGGCGTTCAGAGTCTTCAACAAAAGAACCATGATCACTGAAGAGTCAATACATGTTATCTTTGATGAAAAACATGTGGGTGACAAACCATCAAAGCATGATCATGAGGTTCTGGATCTCTCAGACAAGGATGAAGAAGCCAACGAAGGAGATAGCATGAAACCTACGGAGTTCATTCCATTCAGAAGTCTACGACTGAAGACTTCACAAAGAAATCCAGATTCAGACGGTGCTGAGCTTACTGGAAATCATGGCCAGCCTTCCATTATTCCGGATCACTCAAACGACGAGAATTCCGGAAATGGTGACCCAGTGCCAATCCATCCGGAATCACCAACAAACTCCGTTCTTCAACCAGAAGCTGAACTAGATCAACCAGTTAACCCTAATCAACACAATCTCCGTTTGTTAAGGGATCATCCTCCCCAACAAGTCATTGTAGATATTCAATCTGGCATTCGCACAAGGAGTGCCCAACAGAATCTAGAAGCTATGCTTGCTTGTTTCATATCACAAGTGGAACCTAAGAATATTGAAGAAGCTCTAGCTGATTCTGATTGGATCAATGCAATGCAAGAAGAACTCAACCAATTTTTCAGAAATGACGTCTGGAAACTTGTTCCCAGACCTACTCATCAACATGTCATTGGGACAAAGTGGGTCTTCCAGAACAAGATGAATGAAAACGGCGTTGTTGTCAGAAACAAAGCCCGGTTGGTTGCCAAAGGATATTGTCAAGAAGAAGGTATAGATTTTGATGAAACCTTCGCTCCAGTTGCTAGACTTGAAGCTATAAGGTTGTTTCTAGCCTTTGCTGTTCACAAAGACTTCAAAGTCTATCAAATGGATGTTAGAAGCGCATTTCTCAACAGAAACCTAGAGGAAGAAGTTTATGTGGAACAACCTCCAGGATTTGAGTTTCACACTAAAGGAGATCAAGTGTATAGACTCAAAAAGGCGCTGTATGGACTCAAACAAGCACCAAGAGCTTGGTATGATACATTGTCTCAATTCCAAGTGCATAAATTAGCATTCAAAGAATGAAAAATACAAATTGCACATATCTAATTTTGGAACAAAACAAAACCGATATCATCCATATGCAACCTATATGGTCAAATCAATTAAAACCAGCAAGTAAAAGCCCATAAAAAGTCTCAAAATATAGCTTTTATGAAAGATTGGCCAAAAATTTCACAAAAGCAGAAAATGAAGCACAAATTCAGCATTAAAGACAACTCAAACATGCTGATTCTAGTTTTTTTTCAAGCACAACGAAACCACAATTCTATGAGTTTAACCAACAAAATAGTGTGGAACAGAGAAAAGAGGTTATTTCTACGTGAAAAAAACTTAAAATTGAACACTAAAAATATTTAAAATGTCTAAAAAAAGAATAAAAAGTACTAACCCAAAATCGACTTATCAAATACCTCCACACTTAAACTTGAACGTCCTCATTTAAAAGACAAAAAAAAGAAACCAAACTTTTTATCATCATCAAGAAGAACAAAATGCACTTTATACCCCCGCACTTAAAACTTTATGCCCATAGCTGATTCATAAAATACTTTCATACGAACTAAACTGATTCATAAAATACTTTCCCCAGCAACGGCGCCAAAATTTGTTGAAGACCTGTCGTGCGGTGCAAAACAAATTAAAAATTTTAAAAAAAAACCTTAGCTAACCCCTAAGATATAATCAAATAAAAACTATAGCTGGGGCAAGTAAGAGTCGATCCCACGGAGAAAGATTGTACTTTTGAAATCAATTAAGCATGCACACAAATTGTCACTAAACAAAACAAACTAACTACTACACTTATGATAACACTTATAAAACTTTTAATGAAATAAATATAAAAACTTATAAATATGACTTATATAAATAAAGAACTTATAAATAACTTATAAACATAAAACACATACTTAAGATATACTAAAAGAATAAAGTATTATAACTTATAAACAAACACTTAAAATATAACTTAGTAAAAAACTCATATTAGAAACTAAAACAATATAACAAAAGGGGGGGGTGTTGGATGAAAAGTAAATATTGTTTTTTGGTTTTTTTATTTTTCTTATTTTTTGGTTTTTATTGATAAAATGAGGGAAAACAAGCTCTAAACATAATCAACTTCGCCAACTAAGTAACCCAAGAAACACCGTCAAGAACCCGAAACAAAACTAAGAAGAGAACAAACACAAGTCGAACATTACACGTATAATAGGCACGTAGACAATATATTACGTAACTTACGCACTTAAAAATAGAAAATAATTCAAAGGCTCAAGTTGAATCATATCATTGACCACATATAAACTGAATAAAAATTCATAATCAAATCATTTGATATCATGCACACAATGTTCAATTCAGACATTCACAATTTTTATATTGCTCAGTTCATATCAACATATTTTATTCAACTCAGATATTATTGTTAGATTATAGTCCCAACGCTAGAGGGGGTGAATAGCATTTAAAACAAAATGTTGCAGGAATAAAAAATTTAAAGACGTAAAGTAAAGAGTAAGGAGAAGGCACGCCAATTTTACCCTGGTTCACCACAATGTGTGGCTAGTCCAGCCTCCTAAGAGACTCTCTCAAGCTACACTATCAACGTAAAGCTTAACGGTGCTTAACAAACCCGTACAATTTGAGAATTCGAGTCACACGAACCTCAACGATACTTTGAAGGAAACAAACTTTCCTTCGTACCAAACAAGAGCATTACTTTCTCTTATCACATGTCTAAAACACACATTCACTCAAGAACAATACTCTCTTTTAGAGTGGATGTTGAGTAACTAAAAATGCTCAAGAACACAACACGAATTTCACAAAAATGGCTCTCAAAAAGCTATGAAAACACCTTGTAACCACCAAATCTCCCCAAAATAATATGTCAAAACACCCTCATTTCATTCACCCCCTTTGTCCCCTAGGTGGGCCGAAACAACCCATCCCAACCACCAATCTTTTACATCATAATATCCACCCCTCTTTGTCTCCTAAAGCTGCCAAAAAAGTCCTCCTCAAATCACTCAAATATCACCTTAATATTTTCCTTTATTCCCTGGTCCCAAATCCACACTAATGGCCAAAACATTCCCCACAAATCCCCATCAATTTCGTTTGAATTCATTCCACATAAGGACAAGCAAATGTATGTTATTTTAGTGATTTGAAGTAGGAAGGAGCTTAGTATTTTCCTCTCTTTTGCTTGTTTATATTTCGGCCACAAGCCCCCATTGTAAACACATTGTAGTTTTCAATCTTTGGTAGTAATACACTTGTTGTATTCTATTTTAAATCCTAATTTTTATACCTTAAGGTTGGTTCCCTTAAGTGTGAGTGTTAGGTTCTAGATATTTAATTGAGTGTGTAATATCTTAATTAAATTCTAGATTCAAACCTCAAGTGAGGATAAGAGTGTGTTATATCTCTTAAAACCAACTTGGTTTTATCCTTCGCCTTATTCTTCCCTCTCCCTTTCTCGGCCCCTTTTACAAACACCCTCAAACAGCCCCTTATTTCTTCCCTAGCCATACACCTTAAACCACCTCAAGTTTTCCCCTCCTTTCCCTCATTTATCTCGGCCAGCCCCTCCTCCTTTTAAACCTAAGCTAAGATATATCACTGCACCAAGATTTTCTATCTTTTTCTCTTAATCTGTCATGTTTTTTTAATTGCTTCCGTTGTACTCTGCTCTTTCCCATTTCAATAAATAAAAGTTATGTTTTATCTTTTTGTTAATGTCAAAAGGGAGAAGTGAAGGGCTATGCATATGCTAAGGGGGGGAAGTTTCTAAAACGTTGGTTTTTAAAACAACAATCTTTTCTTAAGCACAAATTAAGGGGGGTTTTTCTCTCACACTTATTTGAAACTCAAATATCCCTTAGTATGCATATCCCCATCTTATTTGCCATTATCAAAAAGGGGGAAATTGTTGGAACACGGGTTTACGCCTACGTTGTACTAAACCGTGTTCATTCTATGACAGGTTTTGATAATGCCAAACTGCTGCGAAAACAAGAGCAAATTGACAAAATCAAAGGCGGAGAACCAAGAACCAAGAACGAAAACTTAGAAATTACTTGAGTCGGTCTTAATGAGATCAAGACTGCATAAACTTCTAAAACTTGGCTCTCTAGGCTAATTGCATCAAAATGTCTTTATGCATCATCAAAAATGTTTTTAAATAAGCCTAAAACACTTGGTGTTCGCCCAAAAAAAAAACCAAGCCATCCGACGTTCGGCTTTTAAACACCGGCATTCGGGTTCCAGAAATCGGCATTCGGCATTCGGCTATCGGTGTTGGTTTTTGGCATCCGAACCAACCAAGTGGTTTTCAACTTTTTATGATTGGTTTTCACTTGTAGGAACATCTAAATAGTTCTCCAACAAAAACACTTCAAAAACCACCTTTTAATTTTGGTCGTTTGGTAAAAATCATGCGAAACGGCATAAACTTGGCTAGCCGTGGTTTTTACTTAAATGATGTGGTTTTTAAGATGTCTCACTTGATTTATTAGCAAAATACATTAAACAAATGTTTTCAACACTTGGTTTTTAATTTGGAGAACTATGATTTTTGACATCGGCTTACGGCATGACTAACCAACCATGGGTCTGGCTAAACCAGCCCAACAGCGATGTTGGAGTAACCAATAGCGCTGTCTGGCATTGGCAACTGAAAACCATGGTTTGGTGTTAAGTCTTCCAACATCGATGTTGGTCAATGTACATCGCTGTTGAGCCAAGGTTGAAATTCTAGAAAAATTTGGAACAACAATGTAGACAGCTCTACATCGATGGTCAACCTAAGCCAAAAGAAAATGCCTTTGACAGAAAGTTTTTGGACAGTGCTGTTGACCCAGCAACAGCGATGTCAAGGCCATCTTTCATCCTTCAAGGTTAGGCCTGAATAGCGATGTTTAAGTAATGAACATCGATATAGGCACCTGACCGTTGGAAGAAATTTATGGCTAAAACTTTCACCTTCAAATACGTCGTGTAGCTCCCTCCGTGATCAATGCTATGGAACTGAATGTTTCTGGGAAAAACAAATTCAACAACCTTCTTTTGGGCAACGTTTGCGAAGCCGGTCCTCAAGGTGATCTTCGAGACTTAAGAAAGCCTCGAGGCTGAGCTTTGATCCTGAATGTTATACCCGAACCGGGGGTCTTATCATGTAAGTAATTTGAGGGCGGAAATACGGAGGAATTGGAAGCAAAACTTGAACAATCTTTAAACTTCAAGAGCTTGTGATAGTCGATTATCTCCCCTTGATAATCGAGTATCAGTATTTTACCATCAAGGCAAGAAATTTCAGGAGGAGCAGATAGTCGATTATCACTTTTGTGATAATCGATTATTGGACTTCGCTGATTATGCCAAGAATGTTCCGATGGGTCAGATAGTCGATTATCTGTGCTTGATAACCGATTATCAAAGTTACGAGGGTCCAAAATATGGATAGAAAATGGTGGTGTATGTGAGGGGAATGGCTTGAAAAATATGGAGATGATGAAGGAGTTCTTTTTGGTGTTTTTAATGAAAGAAAAGAATAAGATTAAGAAGAGAAATTGGGGGATATTAAATGGAAGAAAATCAGGGATGGATAAACCAAGTTGGTGTTTAAGAGATATTACACTCTTATCCTAACTTGGGGTTGGAATTTAGAATTTAATTAAGATATGACACACTTAATCAAATTTCTAGAACCTAGAATTTGCACTTAAGATAACCACTCTTAAGATATAGAATTAGGAATTTCGCTAAAATAGCATCACACTATTTTATGAATACTCAAAGAGTAAAAGAGTTTTAATATCCAAAAGATGTGTTTACATTGGCCATAGGGCCTGATTATATAGGGAGAGGGGAAGGGGAAAATACACAATACAATGAATGTGAACATGAGGAAACTTCCTATCTCCTTCCCTCAAATCAGTAGCATGATCTCCAATTGTTGTTGTCTTTTTGGTGGGGAAAAAATCAGGGATCGGTTGTACTTTGTGGGGCTAGTGTTGTGGTGTTTTATGTTTGGTTTGCAGTGGTTGTTTCTTGGGGGTGTTGTGGCTATTATTATGGCAAAATGGGGTTTTGTGTTTAGCAAACAAAGGGGGACAGGGCTGGGTAATATTAGGGATGGTTTTGGACTTATGGGTTTGGGTTATTTGCGAGGGAACATGGGAAGGAAGTAGGGGCTAGAGATGGGTCACGATTTTGGCTCTTTGTGGGTGTTGTGTTGGGATTGACAAGGAGATTTGGCCAGGAATTCAAAGGGAGGGAAAGAAGGTTTTTATTTGTTTATGAAAAGAAGGAAAATAACAACAAAAAAAAGGTTTTAGTTTCTTATTATTGACCAGGGATTAAAATAGATGGCAAAGGCTTTATTTTGGATGAAAGAAAAGATAAAAGACTTTTGGATATATTGGGAGAGGTTGGGGTTTTTGTGGAGCCATCCACAGGTATAACATACTCCCCTTCTTCAAAAAAAGTTTGTCCTCAAACTTTCACACCACTGTAGAAGATTATTGTTTCATATAAGTATTCCTATATCAAATGGGAAACTTTATGAACCACCAATGGGGAGGCTCTCTCTGGGATCTATAGACACCTTGTTATGTAATTCCCGGAATGTTATGACATTCTTCAACAATATATAGTACTCTGGGGGATTATCCTTCGGGTATTTTCCCGAGCTCAGTACTACTTCCTTCATACCTATTTTAACAAAATGATCAAAAACAAAGGAAGTGTCATAATCATCGGCATTAGAAACGAGGGCGTGATTAGGCAGCTCTGGTGCCCCCTGAAATAAGTTCATCGATGATGACTTCTTCTTCATTTTCAACATGGAAGTCAAAGACATCCTCAACGAGGACGTTTATATCGTCGGAGCTTTTTGTTTCCTCATCAAGAGTTGGTTCTTCAAGTGGAATTGGATCATTTAAGGCTCCTTCAAAGGAACAATTTTCTTCATCATCCTTGGTCCACTCTTCATATGGGATGGCATGCTTATTCAAGCACTCCAAATTGCTATGACCATAGCCACCACACATGAAACACCATCGGGAATCCCATTGTAATATTGCTCCGTTTGCAAGGATATTGAATTCCTTAATGACATATCAAAAATTTAGAGCCATTAAAAAATGTTTTCTACCACTTTGGAGACTCAGCAAGGTAGACGGAATCCGGCCAGGACTGTGTTATCAACTTCTGAAGGGCGTATCTCTCAAACCCTAACTCGGAATTGAGTGAAATCAGCGGCCACACGTAGATAAAAGGTTAAACTACTGAACTAGAAAGTTTCACCTTCAAGTACATTGTGTAGCTTCCTCTGTGATCAATTCTATGGAAATGAAAGTTTCTGGAAAAAAATTTCAGCAACCTTCTTTTGGGCAACGTTTGCGAAGCCGGTCCTCAAGGTGATCGTCGAGACTTAAGAAAGCCTCGAGTCTGAGATTTGATACCAAATATTATACCCGAACCCCGGGTCTTATCACGTAAGTAATTTGAGGGCGGAAATACGGAGGAATCGGAAGCAAAACTTGAACAATCTTTAAACTTCGGGAGCTTGTGATTGTCGATTATCTCCCCTTGATAATCGAGTATCAGGATTTTACCATCAAGCCAAGAAATTTCAGGAGGAGCAGATAGTCGATTATCACTTTTGTGATAATCGATTATTGGACTTCGCTGATTATGCCAAGAGTGTTCCAAAGGGTCAAATAGTCGATTATCTGTGCTTGATAATCGATTATCAAAGTTACCAGGGGCAAAATTGAAGCCTTTCCTTTGGCAAAGAAGAGAAGGTGAGCACATATTCTTCGAATTCTTTCCTTTTGGATCGCGTCCTTGAAATTACATCACGAAGAATATTCCCAGGAAGAAATTGATTCTTTCCTTTTGATTGCGATGAGACAAAGAAGAAACTCGCGACAGATCTGGGCGGAGAAAAAAGACCAACAACAAATTCTTTTTACGCTCAAGGGGACAACGACGATGCAACTCACGACGATGGATGTTAGAATAAAGGCCCAACGCTAGAGGGTGGTGAATAGCGTTTAAAACAAAATCGCAGGAAATTAAAACGAGAGCGTTAAAGTAAAGAGCGTAAGGAAGGAGCACACCGGATTTTATCCTGGTTCACCACAACGTGTGGCTAATCTAGCCCCCCGAGAGACTCTCTCGAGCTACACTAACTCCGTTAAGCTTAAGGGTGCTTAACAAACCGATACAACTTGAGAACCTGGGTCACACGAGCCTCAACACCTTTGCTCGGAGATACCGCACTCCAAGACTTCTCACGAAGGAACAAGGAACTTCCTTCGAGTTTACAACAAGGGAACGACCTCCCTTAAAGTGAATGAAAACACTTAAACACTCAGTAATAAAACTCTCACAAAGAGTAGATATGAGTGAACTAGTAAACGCTTAAAAACACGACAATTTCTTCAAGAATTGGCTCTCAAATAGCTAAGAAAAATAGGAATGCTTATGCAATGAAGGAGTATTGAAATGTTGAAGAATTGTGTATAAAATGAGAGGATTTGGGTGCCATTTTATAGCCCAAAATGGGATAAATCCGTTGCTAGAGTTTCCAACAGGATGAAGACAAATTTTTCAGAGACACAGGGTGATAGTCGATTGTCAAAGCTTGAGAATCGATTATCCAAAGATTCCCTGTCCAAAAATTTAAAATTCTATCCGTTGGAGGACAACGGTAACCCAGATAATCGATTGTCAACAAGTGATAATCGATTATTGGTCCTCTCAGAAGATTCTGGGTTTTGGCTGCAAAGACTGATAATCGATTATCGCAAAGGTGATAATCGATTATTGCATGCTTCAGAACTTTGGAAGTTCAAAGCTGCAGGGGCTGATAGTCGATTGTCACTAAGGTGATAATCAATTATCACCCAGCTAAAGTCTAGCCAGCTGAAACCCGTTTTGAAAAACCGAGGTCCAAAAACGAAGTGTTCCCAAAAGTAAAAACCAGGTTTGGAAAATATTGTATATGGTATAAAATAGTGAACACAAGACTTGTTTGGTAAAAACCAACTCTCCAAGGTCGTATAATACGTGCTTACGGTTTAGACCGTTTTTCACGTGTTAGACCGATTGACCAAGATACAAAAGTGGTTTTTATAAAATAATTATTTGGGAACATTTTAAAAATGCTCAGAAGTAAAAACAAGGTTTAAAATATTGAAAACCGCGGGGTTGGTTCGGGCGCCAAAAACCGAACGTCGAAAGCCGAACCCCAGAAGCCGAATGTCGAAAGCCGAGTCTTTTAGGTCTTGTTCCAAGCCATTCTTCACGCCTTGAGTTATTCAACGAAACTCTTTATATCCACGGCGGTTTGGAAATTATCACAACCTGTCAGAAATGAACACGACTTTAGTTTATCGTACAACGTGTGTTCCAACAATTTCCCCCTTTTTGATAATGGCAAACAAGACGGGGATATGCATAGGGTAATTTTGATCTTTTTGAAAAAAAAACAAAAAATTCCCCCTTAAAAAAAAATTCCCCCTTATTATATGCATAGCCCTTATCTTCCCCCTTTTGACATTAACAAAAAGATTGTTAACAACAAAAATCATAAAGATTTTTATTAATTAATTAAGGGAAGTAGCGGAGTACATAACGAAAGCATATTAAAAGATGAAAAAATAAGAAAGAGAAGAAAGTAGAGCTAGAGCTCTAGAAATCCAGGGAAAGATCATTGAGAAGTTGTTCTTCGTCAATGTCTTCTTCTTCTTATTCATCTTCATCACCATCGCCATCATCATCATCATCATCGGCTTCTTCTTCCTCTTCCTCATCGTCCACCTCGTCATCTCTACCAACGTTTTGAGTCCCACTTTGTTCACCTCTGAAATTCGGTGGAGGAACGTAAGGGACCATTTGAGCGTACGGGTAATTGACAAAGTCAAAATACCCGTGAAGTTCACGGCTCAAGGTATTGACGTTGTGTGCCGTTTTAGAGACGTTCGTGTCAATCCGAGAGAGAGTGGCTGATAAGTCCGTTTTGTACTTATCTTTTTACTCATATTTAATTTGTTCTTGTACCATTTTTATTATCAAAACAATAAATTATTTATTATTTTTTATCAAAAACATATGTTTTGATGAATTGATCATAAAAAGAATATCTTTGAAATAATATATAAAATTGGGCCAAGAATAGAGTAAAAATAGTAAATTTTAATAGAAAAACAATTCTATCTCACAAACGGTGCGGAATTAGAAGTTGGTGCAGAAGGAAAAAGTGTTCAGAACGAGATTTTAAGCAGGATAGCATCGACGGACCAGGGCGGCTCAGCAGGCGGCCTGGCTGGCGGCAGCCTGCCTGGCCGCCGGTCGGAAAGCGGCAGCGATTATCAGAAGGCAACAGCGGCGAGAGATCCAGGGAGGAGGAGCGCTGGCGGGCTGGCAGGCGACCGCCTGTCTGCCCGCCTATTGACGGCGACCTGGAATCCGGCAGATTCTGGAAAAATCTTCAGCGGCGCCGGCGGGTTGGCCGGCGACCGCCGGTCTGCCCGCCTAGTTGTCTTCTCCAGCCTATAAAACCCCTGCGGCTTCTTTCCTCTCAAGCAGCGATCTCCTTGGTTTTTTTTCCCTTTTGGGGTAAAAATATTTCCATTTTTAATTTCAATATTGTTCTAAATTTGAGTGGGTTAAATTTCATCATTCCAAATTAATTATCAAGTCCTTGAAGCATTGTAAGTTTTACTCTACTTTTTTATTGTACTCTTTATTGAACTTTTTATCAATTAAATTTTACTTTGTTGATGATTGATATGTTTTTGAAGATTTTAATGATGATGAATGTTTTGTTTGATATTATGAATTGGTAATTTAAATGGGTTAAGATTCGGAATTAAGATTTAATCAATTTAATTTCATCTTTTTATTAGTAATTGGATTAATTGTTAGAAAATGAAATAATCTTTATTAATTAATAAAATTGTTTTTATTATTAATTAATCCTTGGAAATTAATCTTTTACTTTGTCTATGAAGTAAAGATTAGTTAAGCCACACGTTCCGAACACCTAGAAATAGGCAGTGTTAGAAATAACCGTTTGGAATGGTTTAAACTAATTAATAATGTTAAACATTTTATTAATTAAGTAATTGGAAAATAGTTCTTGCCTTGTCTATGAGGATTTAGAATTATTTAAGCCAAACATTTTCTAGCACAGTACTGAGACCTGAAAAATTGGAGATGTACTGGAAATATAATAGTCTTATATTTGATATTGAGACCTAGAAATAGGAGATATATTAAATATAAGTGCTACAAATTTCATTAGTCGAATCGTTAATAAAAGATGAGTTAAATTGTGTTAAGTCTGCATTCCGATCTTAACTTCTCAAGTTATTTTATCATTTACTTTAGACGCTGTATTTCTTTTTATTTCAAGCTTCTTAAACTATGAATTTACCTGTGACAAATAATAAAACTAACTATTCCCTTCGTCACTCCTGGAGAGAACGACCCGAGTCTAACTCGGTTATTTGTTGACTTACCGCTATATTTTAGATCCGTCAGTGGCGGTCAAGGCTGCCATTTGCTCGGCGAGAGAAGGATTGGTCGAAGTGGTGGCGGCTGAGGCAGTGGCTCTCGGTTGGTGGCGTGGAAGAGGCTGTCAAAACAAAGTCTTGTCGGTGCCCGAGTGGAAAGAGGATTCATCAATCTCCCAATGCTTTGTCCCCTTTATCTTTGGCCCAACATCGGTTTTGATGATATACTCTTCAAGAATCGCCATGACAAGGAGGGCGTAGGGGAGCGGCCGATTGTCGGAGGTGGCCGTGAACATGTGAGTCATCACAAATTTACACCAATTGAGATTGGCGTTGTGAATCATCGCATGAATTGTCTTCGTGTCCTCCTGGGAGTGAGTGGTGTGATTGAACTTCCTGGGCTTGAGAATCGGTGTCAAAACATAAAAAATGAATCGAAACACGGGGCTCATGGAAGCAATCGTAGGGCGCCGCTGTTGGGGAGTGGGGACGAAGTGTCAGATGCCCACTTCCTCCAAGAGAGCGGTGTCGTTGAACCGTGCTCCTTCTTCTCCGACGTAGAGCCCGAGATCCTGTCCGTCCCGACGAAGCCCTGTGAGAATTTGAATGTTTTCTTCATTCAAATAGATGTCCACCCCGTTGACGTTAGAGATCAACGCTCCGTCCTCATCCTTTTTCAAGTTCGAGTAGAAAGCTCGAACAAGAAAGGGGTGATAATTGACCTTCTTGATGTAGAGGAGGTCGAGGAAGTTTCCACGTTCGAGGATAACCCGTGCCTCACGTGGAATGGAGTCATGAATGAAGCGGGCTGTGGAGAATCGGGGAGGGAGAATCTCTCGGTGCTCAAATTTCTCCGAGAACCGCGTCGCCTCTGCGTGGTCGTTGAACCAAAGGAACGACCCGTCGAGGTACTTGTGCGCCGGTGGTGGAGGAGCCGAGGAAGAAGCCACGTTCTTGCCGGTGCATGAACGCTTTCTTTGACCACCTGCCATTGCAACAAGAGAGGAGAGAGATATTGCAGAAATTTTAAAAAAATGAAGAATAATAGCAAGAATGATGAATTATGATGAATATATGGAGAAGAGAAGATTGGAATGAGTAAATATTGAGTAGATATCACCAATTTATAGAGTAGAAGCTTTGAAGATTCGTAGAGGTGGTCAAACAGGAATTAATTGCTCTCCAACGTCTCTGCAACGGTCAGATTTTTAAAAAATCGCTGTTGATAATCGATTTACACTCCCTGTAAATCGATTATCTGAATCTTCAGATTCTCCGCCAAAGAAACTACAGGCTTCAATAATCGATTTCTGCCTGGTTGTAAATCGATTGTGGTAGTTTGCGCCTGAGTTGCCTTTAACTTCTACAGGCTTAAATAATCGATTATCTTATAGTTGATAATCGATTGTTGCTGGTTTGCGCCTGACTTTTGAGAAAGTTCTGTAGCCCCTGATAATCGATTATCTTAATGCTGATAATCGATTGTTGGCTCCTTCAGTTTCTTTGCTCCAACTTCTGCGGGTTGTGATAGTCGATTATCACAAGCCTGTAAATCGATTTACACCAGGTCTGGAGACAAAAAAAATTGATTTGCTTTGTTCCCCCTGACTTTGACACCTGAAAATAAAATTAAAAACAAAGAGCCCTGCAAAAAAGAATTAAAAACGTCTCCGACGTTCAAGTTAGTAAGGACCAAAAATAATAATTAATGCACAATTTAGATCATCGTGGAGTCAAGGATTCCGAGTTCACTACGAATGCGGAAGAACGACTCTTTCTCTAAAGGTTTTGTGAAAATGTCGGCTAATTGGTTGTGTGTTTCAACGAACTCAATTTCGACATCACCTTTGAGAACATGATCTCTAATGAAATGATGCCTAATGTCAATATGTTTCGTCCTTGAGTGAAGAACCGGATTCTTCGTCAAGCTTATGGCACTAGTATTATCACATCGAAGAGGGACGTGATCGATACTAAGGCCATAATCCACAAGTTGTTGCTTCATCCAAAGGATNACACAACATTCTTTGATTTAAATGAGGCCCTTACTTGCTTGCCCTTTTGACATGAATCACAAATGGTGTCCTTCTCAAACTTGAGTTTTGGAAGGCCAACTACTAGGTCTTGTGAAACCAATTTATTCAGAAGATTCATGTTGACATGAGCTACTCTACGATGCCATAGCCACATATCGTCCTCCTTACTCATGAGACATTTTGCAAAGTCGGAGGGAGATTCATCTAAGTTAACCATGTAAATGTTATCAATTCTATCACCACGAAGAATCGTCTTATCGTCACTAAGACGTTCTACCGTACATGATTTGGAATCGAAGGTCACACGATTTCCCTTGTCACACAATTGACTTATGCTCAAGAGATTGTGTTTAAGACCCTTAACCAACAAAACATTATCAATAGAGGAGTTTTCGTTTTTACCAAATGAACCAATGCCGATTATCTTGCCTTTGCTATTATCGCCAAAGACAACGTTTCCTCCTTTAGTTGGTTTGATTTGCAAAAACTTGGATCCATCTCCGGTCATGTGCTTGGAGCATCCGCTATCAAGGTACCAAAGTACACTTGATGCCTTCAAGCACACCTACAAACCAATTTAAAAAGTTTAGGTACCCATTTCCTTTTGGGTCCTTGGGCGTTAGGTGCACGTTGGTAGTGTGATTGGTTTTGAGTGCAATGCCTATGCCTAGTGAAACAAACCGGGGCTATATGTCCTACCCTATTGCAATAATGGCAAATAACATTTGGATTATGCATTCTCCTAGGTTGATAATAGTTACTAGGTTTTCTATATTGCTTGACCCTAGTTTTAGAAAAGTTTTGTTTATGCATATTTGGAAAATGGTTTCTAGATTCTCTAACTTGATCATTGTTTATCCTAGTGTTCTTTCTAGGTGGTCTAGTGTTCCTGGTTGATGTAGATTGTCTATTATTGTTCATTTTAGTTTTCCTAGGTTGAGCATTAGGTTGTTTAGGTGGTTGCTCAACTTTTTCTTTATTATTGGTTTCATTTTCAAAACCTAAGCCATGTTTAGTAAGTTGCAAATTGTCAAGAACATCATTAAGGTTTTTATGAGAAACACCAAACTTCTTCAAAGTTCCTTCAAGTTTTGCAACTTGATCCTTAAGTGATATACAAGAATTACATTTTGAACTTTCCGGTTTGTCGGCGCTTTTTTTTCCGAAAAACTTATTTTCTTCTTTAAGTTTTTCATTATCTTTTGATAGTTTATCAACTTCCTTCTCCATGGAAGTAAGTTGTTTCTTCAAATCCTTGTTAATTTTAGAAGCGTTGACATATTCATCATAAAGTTCATTAAAGGCTTCTTGTACATCATCAAAAGTATAGGAATCTTTAGAAGTGGTACATACCTCTTCCGGTGGTTC